CTAGTGCCTGTTGCGCTTGAAACTCCTGAGGCCCAGGAGCGCTTCGCGCGCTTGAAGCCCTTGGCGGGGCGATCTGAAACGCTAGGGGCCTTGGCCTTCACGTCCTGACTGCCATCGGCTGAACTCGGGACAGGCGGCTTCTTTGGGGTCGGAGTGTGAACAGACCCGTCCGCTAAGTTTTTCCTGGCTGGCGCGAGGTGGGCCCCGCCCCCAGACGCGCCTGCGCCAGGGGCCAACGCCTCGCCAGCCTGTGCTGGCAAAGGCTGGGATGGAAGTGCGTGCGCCTGCAGGTCCTTGAACAACTGCCAGAAGCACTGCGGTACCTTGGGGTAGCGACCCTCGTTCTCCGTCAAGAACTCTGTCGCTTTCGTCGGCCCCTCAGGGCGATGACGATACGCAGTCAACAGGTCGACGCCCCTGATGACCACGCTTGCTCCCGCAGCGTCCTTCAGCAACTGGAGTGCCACGTTCACTGACTCGGACGTCGTCGGGCGGTCCTGCACGCGGGGGTTGATGGACAGCACGGCTGCTGACGTGGAGAAGGCTTTGATCCAGGTGTGGAGTGAGTTGTGGCGGTTGATCACGACGTCCAGCTTGTTCTTGAGCATCGCCATTGCCATCGTCTCGTTGAACGCGTCGTCGACGAAACATGCTGTCCAAGTAGGGGTGACCTTTGCCGTCGCCTGCCCCTCGTTGGTCAAGACCTCGGCCATGCCCAGCAAGAGCATGCTCTCGTAACGCCCGCTGACTCTTGCCGCCAACAGGCACCAGTGACGCATGGTGTGGATCGGCTCGCGGAGCTGCCAGCCTGTCTTCTCGAACTCCATGGCCCCGGGGTCGTTGGCCATGCTGTCCAGCTTCTGCAGCGCAGCGTGGAGGATCTGCAATATGAAGGTGGCCGTCCCGCAGAGGTACTCTTGACTCATGAACTGCTTATCCTTGGAGCGAGCCTTCCTGCCTATAGCCACCTCGGCTGAGGAAATGACTGCGACCACGTCGGCGACTGCGCACTTGAGCTCCATACCGAGCATGCGCAGGTCGATGCTGGGCTTCGGTGCATCCACAGTTGAGTTGAACATGCCAGGGACGTCGATCTCCGTCAGCATGACTGCTCTGATGAAGCATCGCAGGTGCTCGAGAGCTCGGTTATGGGGGAGAACTCCAACACCTTGGGATCCCCTTTGCTTCCAGAAACATCAATGGGCGCAAGCTTCGCAACATTGTCGGCATCGCCCTTAGGAAGCAAGTGAGGATACAGGGCCGAGTCGTCGCACTCCTTTAAGACGTCGGCGTGAACGCTCCCCAGGAGCACCTCCACGTCAGAAATCGTAGAACTCTTATATACCAAGAACGCTGTCGCCTTGAAGTCGTACATGCGCTGGCCGACATGCCCAGCAAACGCCGCGAACAACGCTGCGACGTCATCTCCGACCTCGGGGAGATCGAGGGTGGATGAGGTCAGCACGGTGAAGGGCGTGGCTGAGGTGTGCTCGTGGTGGACCCTGCTGAAGTTGCAGAGGGTCTGCTCGTCGGGCTTGGTGCTGCTCTTTGAAAGTGACTCGCCGTCGAGCCACCAGTCTGGGTCGGCAAGCAAGTGAAGGCTCTCAAGGTATATGATAATATTGTCGGTGACCGCAACGTTGTGGTTGAAATGTCTCAGGACAGTGTCGCCCGACGCGTCCTTGTCGAAGTGATCGCGCCAAGAGCTGCCCACTCTGGTGGCCGCGAGCTTGTGCAGCTTCTGGGCGCCCAGCGCGGACTTCAGCATCAGCTCAACGAAGGCTCTCAAGCGCGGGCGCATCGCTTTCACAGTGGCGTCGATCTCACGGATGTGAACGAAGAGGCGGACTGGCGACGAGAACGGCACTGTCGGCTGCACATTGCCGTCGCCGCCAGGCTGGGTCGACTCGCACTCGGCTTTGACGACCTCTGTTTGGATGGGGCCTGAACTGTCGCCGCCTGCGGCAGCGCACGAATCTGCCATGCCCGCCTGTGAAGCTTGCTCCAGGAGATGGCCGATCCAACCTCTGACGGTATCTATGTAGACGAAGTTCCCTGCGTGCAACAGGACGTACATGTTTGATACAGTATTCGCCTGTGGCCCAGACTCACACAGCCACTTCATTTACACAAAGAACAGAAGGAGTTGGGGAGGCCGAGGAGGGGGGCCAGCATCAGCATGAGCAGCACGACGACGACAGCTGGGGGACGGCGACGACTACGAGAGCGAGCACGACCAGCAGCGACAGCATGCGCAGCACGAGCAGCGCACTCAGCAAACGTGTTGAGGGACGTCGCGTTTGGGTTTGCACCCCTCTCTCCATCCTCTCTCACCCCCCCCCCCCCCATGGCGAGTTTCCGAAGGCAGGGCGGGCCCAATTAAAAAGGCAAGCTAGGGTGGCGGTCGGTTTCGGAGTCGAGGCGGGGGTGAGGAGGAGGAGGAGTTAGATGAGGAAGGATAGGGATGTGGAAGTGGCTGTGGATATCAGTCGTGCCCAGCGCTCGCCAGAGTCTCGGCGCGCTGCTCCAAGGCGCTCGTGGACCAGCGCTGGAGGGCCTGGGTGCAAGCAACGCTCATCACCATGCACGCCTCGAAATACTTCCCGAACGCATCGCAGGTCATCGGCTTGCCGCCATTCCCCGCCTTCAGCCAAGAGGTTGCGTTCTCGAAGATTGGATCGAGCAAGTCCTCGAAGCGGTCGGCGCTGAACTCGAACCCGCTGCTCGAAGCCTCATCCTCGATGCCGACCTTGGCGTGGCTGAGAGCCCGTTTCATGAACGCCATGCCTGCAGGGTGGACCGCCATTGCTTTTGCCATCTCTGATGATGGGACATCCTCCTTCGCTGCTGCCATCACTGTCCTCCTGGCCCACCTCGCACTGTCGACGCTGGGCCTCTTCCTCTCGTCCGACTTCGCGCACGGCGCGATCATCGCGAACGCGTCGAGAAGCTGGCCCACCTTATTGTTGAGGCAGCCGCTGTGTTTGGTAAGCCACGCCTGGCGCGTTCTCTCCATGAACTCATGGCAATGCTGCATCGCCTTCTGGTCATTCACGATGTCGGGGCCCAAGGTGAAGATGTACTTCGCCATGGAATCGCTCACCAGCTTCTCGAACTGCTCGACGGGATGGACCAACACACGCTTGGCGATCACGTCTTTCGGCATGGTGAACTGCTTGCGCCTCTTCGAAGGTGGTGCTTCGCCCTCTGCTGTGCCATCGGCGGCGCCCCTATCCTTGACCTTCGCGCCGTCGGTGGTCTTGGTCATCGTCCCCGTCAATGTGCCAGGATTCTCGGTTACGATCTTGTGGCACTCAGTGAGACGGTCGAAGTTCAGCGAATTGATTGCCTCGTCAATGCCCATGCCGTTGGCCAAATCCTTGTAGAACTGCGCGTAGATAAGGATCATCTCCAAGTCGGCACCCACAGACTTCCTCTGGAAACGAAGGAACGGTTTCAACTTGCAAACTGCCTCAAGCACATGGACCAAGGACGCATCGTTGTTCTCGTCGTGCCACGTCTTGAAGAGCTTGAACAGGATGATCGTTGTCTTCACGCGCATCGAAAGCTGTTTGAATGAAGTCTTTATGTCAACGTTCGCTTGCTGGGAGATCTCACTGCTGTGCTGGTTCAAACGGCGCTCGAGTGCTTGTACGGTCTGTATCTTGTAGTCTGGTAGCCAGCCCAGGTGCGACAGAGCCTCAACGCACTGGTTGATTGTCCCACGAATCCTCCCGAAGCTGATGTACACCTGGCCCTTGGGCAAGCGCTCAGTCAAGGAAAACTTGTTCAATGAGTCTGAGTCGCCGTCGTCCTCGGAGTCCACGTCAATGCCGACGGCCGCACACGTGCCTTCACTCGCACCAGTCTCACAAGCCGCTGAAGCCACGGCAGGCGCCGCCACCGACAAGCTGCTTCGGCGGAACCCGAACTCCTGCTTGACACGCTGAGGCTGTGCAAGTGCATCCTCCTCATGCTTGAGCTCGCCAGCTGTGCCAGAGCCGCTGCCATCTACAGGCTTGTCTCTCGCTCCTCCTGACTCCGATGCTGGATTGTCTGTGCGCATGCAGCTCTCACCGCCCTCTGGTAAAGCAGAAACTTGGATCTCGCCAGCCTCTTGGCACCGTTTGCTCGCAACCTCAGCCCACTCGATGGCCAACTCGTGCAATGTCACCGTGCCGTCGGCCGACCCATGGCGAAGCATCCTGTAGCAGTGTATTAAAAATGGCCATTGATTGGCGTCGCTGTCGGTGGGGAACTCCACCGTGCCGAGTGGTCCGTCCAGCTTCTCAGACACCAACTCCTTCAAGTCCAGGCATTGCTGGCACGTGATGTGGTCGGTGGAAGAAGGGTGAACACCATGTCCGCCAGGCGACCGAGGGAGCCCACTCTGCCCAGCGAAGTCATCGAAACACTTGGCGCAACGCGCAGGGTCTTGCTCGAACAGGCCGGCTTGAAAAGAACTCGGGTCTTCGCCATTGGGTCTGCTGGCGGCCTGTTGGCTGCCCTCGCACGAGCCGTCTTCGAACAACTCCCGTTCCAGCTGCTCGTGCTCTTCCTTCGTCGTGATTGCCGCCGCCATCAAGACAATGGGATAGCTGGTGCAAGAGGCTGCGTGCACTGGTATTCGTTGCCAACCCGCAAGATGACTATGGGCACGCCACCATAATAGGAGGCTGTGGCATCGCCCAGGTTGAGCCCAAATGGCTATGGAGATACGGGGGGGAAGGAGGAGGTCGTGGGAGAACGTGCCCATTCGGCCTCGATTTGTTTCCCTGAGGTGAGGGCGCGCCGCCTTGGGCCCATGGCCTCGTTCGGCCCACCGTGTGTCTGAGCCTGCTCATCCTGGGCATTTGCGTTTTTTTTTCTGGTGGCCCCCGTGGTTTGCAACGCCCCCCTTCTGAAGTAAGACGTCGCTTCTGGGGGGCATCGAAACTACCACCCACAACAGTCATATAACTGATCTTTTCATGGTGGGCTTGGGGGGAGAGAGACATTCGTTGTCCAGCCTCCTCAGCAGGCACCTGGACCTCAAAGCTAAAATGATGCACCACAGATTTAAGCATGGGAACCCCAGAAGCTTAGAGAATGCGATCCCGCCGCCGAAACCTTCCAACACTCCAAGACTCTCCAAGACCCTGCCAAGACTAGGAAAGGCGTGCGAGGACGAGGAGGATGACGAGGAGCAAACATAAATACGGGGAGCACGGATCCCAGGAAGTTCTCAAACCAGTTCTTTTCATGTCTATGCCATGTTGGTTCATTCGCTCTCTCTCTCTCTCTCTTTCTCTCTCTCTCTCTCTCTCTCTATCTCCCTCTCCCTCTCTCTCTCTCTCTCTCTCTCTCTCTCTCTCTCTCCCATGTCCTACCTTTCTTTCCCTCCAGTCTCGCAGCGCAGGGCAGCTGCATGCTTCGTGCAGCTGGGGATGGGGAGGGGGTAAAGGAACGAGCGGGTGGCAAGCCAAGGTCTTCCAAGAGCCTTCCCCCATTAACCGTTATCACATCCAATCCTCCATTCCCATGTTTGCTGCCGCCCCTTCCCCCGCGCCTCCTCCTGCCCTCCTCCCCCGCCCCTCCATTCCTTCAGGCATTCGCTCAAGGGTGCGTTTCAACAGCTTCAGGGCGTCACCACGGAACCAAATATGAGACGTCCCCGCCTCGCAGATGCCCGAGCGAAAACACGCAGACAAGCTCACGCAGACTTGCAAAGGCTGCGTTGGCACAACCTCGGTGCTCAGCGCACGAGTCTGGCTACAGGCAAAAATACACTGGCGCAAATCAAGCGAGCCGCAGCAGACGCACGAACAGCGTCAGCCAACCCACGCAAAGCGGACAATAAGGCTGGGCTGAACTTAATCAGATTCGGATTCAGCCATGGCTGGAGGCGCCCCCTGGCCCTTGTCAGGCAGCGCAATCGTTATCTTGGTGGAGGCCGCCCTTCTCTGCAAACTCTTGATATTCGACAACCTAACAAGACGCCTTGACAGAGCGTCGCTTTCACTTCTCAGGCGATGCAGGCGGTCCAATGTATCCCTGACAGCTGGATGGTCGACGTTCAGTTTACGATGCGCGGTGGCAATACACTTGTCACAGGAAGCGCCCACGGATTGCTTCAACATCTTGGCGTTCACAGAATTGATGCCAATGTTGCCACTGCTGCTCGCATCGGCCATCTCTGGTTCAGGGAATGATCTGCGACAGCCTCAATGCCCACAGCGACGGCGCGCACCAAGGATGCGAGGCAACAAGGGCGGGGGCGAACCGAAGATGCAAGGATGCAGTGGGAGCCTCCTGCCAGCGCCGCCGCTGCGAATGCAAGGTCGAGGGGGGCAACGCGGGATGCGCTCGCAGCGGCTAGCTTGAACCCCAACACTTACGTCATGATTGGGCTGCCTGAAAGTAGCCGAAAAAGGCAGCAACACTGGAGTTGACATCGGAGAAGCAACATCGCCTCATACTCACGATATAGCAAAATATGCCAGGCGTATCAAAAGCCCCACTCAGAAGATGGTCTGGCATTCGTAGACGGGAACAATGTTGTGAGATCGGGGACCCAGAAAAATTAAACCTACCCGGTGTGGTCTTCGCTTTCCCGCTTCTGGCACGACGCGAAACGGTTTGCAGGCGCGGCCGCGAGCTATTCTCTTGATCACCCACAGGGGACGAAACGGTAAGGTCCATCCGAGTTTTGTGGGGCTACGGACGAGTAAATGAACCTCCGACCCGCAGAGGGCCACCGACGCGTGGATGGGGAATTGCTTAAATCCGTTTGTCGGCAACAAAAGGTAGCGCGACACCCCAACACAACGCCGAAATAACGACAAACGGTGGCAAACCAAACGCGCGCGACACCAAAACGCAAACGCAAAAAAACGCAGAGTTTCCACGGCGTCATCAATGACAACCATGTATCCCCCCGCCACCACCAACCCAATCCTTATCACCACCGCCACCGTTTGTGCCCGTGCCCAACCGCCCCCCCGCCCCAATCACTCCCAAAAATATCCTCCCACCACCAACCCCACCCCCACCCCCCAGCCACCCACCCCACCAACGCCCCGCTACCCCCACCACCATGCCCCACATCCACGCCCCCGACCACCACGCACGTAGCTCCACCACGCCATCCCACAAACCCGCCCACCACGCCATGCATTACGCACCCTGCTCCCGCCCGCCCACCACCGCCGCCGCCACCATTGCCCGCGCGCCCTCCACGCCGCTCGCCAAATCCCGAACCACGCGCCCCCCCCCCCACCACCACCCCCACCCCCACCCCCACCACCCACCCGCCCCACCACGACCACCACAACATCCCACAAGCCCAAAACGCGCGCGCCATCCCGCCGCGCCCATCGCGCGCCTGCCCACCTCCCTACCCACGCACGCACGCGCGCGCCCACCTCCCGAGCCCAACCAACAACGCACCCACGCACGCACACGCAAGCGCACTGACCGACGCACGCGCCCACGCCACCCCACCCCACCAACCCGCCCACCCCATCCACCAAAGCACGCACACGCGGGCGCAAGCGCGTGGGTGCAGGGGCGAGCGAAGTGGGGTTGGGAGTGGCGGGCGCTGCGATGGCGGCGGTGGGGAGCGCGGGCGGTCGCAAGGAGAAGGAGTTGCGTGCGCGTGGGAGCGGGCGGTACGTTGGCAAGGGCAGGTGCTTGGGAAATAGGCGCAGCGGTGCAATGTTGGCGAGCGGTAATGTTCTGGGTGGTGTAAGTGCGTGGGGGAGGGTGGGATCGATAGAGCGAGGGGCGAGTGGGCGAGCTGGTGAGCGACGGCTCAGGCGCGCATGGGGCGCGCGGATGGGCGTGGCAGGCGGCGGCGCGCGCGCGCGAAAGGGGGAGGTGAGGCGGTGGTTGTTGGGACGGGAAGTGGGAGGGGCGGGGGCGCATGCGGGAGTCTGGACAACTCGGTCAAGGAAGAAGCGATTCCCAACTCGCCTCGCATTTGCGATGTTGACGCGCGGCTTCGCCTGCTGGGCTCGGATTTGAAGTCGACTGTCGACGTCGACGGTTGGCGTCGACGTGCCCTGTTGACTGGCCCACCTGCTGTTGACGCCCCTCGTTGACTGCGCCTGTTGACGTCCAGACGCAACTTGACGCGCCCTGTCGACTGCGCCTGTTGACGTCTTGGCGCGCCTGGTCGACTGTCGACGTTGACGGTTGACGTCGGCGTCTCGTGTTGGGGGTGCCAGTTGATGTGCCCCGCTGAAGTCAACTGCGCCCCCCCCTCGTTCGCCGCCGCGGGTTAAGTTCGCGCGCCGATGTCGCGGACACTTGGCGCCTCCAACACGGCGCGGTGGCAGGCGCGAGGTGGCCTGTAGCACATGCGCCGTGCGTTGCTAGCCAGAGCAGTAATTCTGGCAGCCGCCGCTGTTTTTCACAGCGCGCGATCAAGTTATGACCAGCCCTGGGAAACGCGACGCCGCGGGGGTGCGTGGAATATTCGGAATGCCGCGCGGGCGACGCGCTGGCTGCGCAAGGTAAGTTCGCGTCGGTGCGGCACGTCCAGAACGCGCTCTTCTTTTGGCTCATCGGCGAACCTAAACCGCGCCGACGTTGCAACGGCCATCTAGTGATCTCGGTTGCGCCTGTGAGGTGGCGAGCGATGGCGCGCGTCGCGCGCGCGTGGACGAACTCGGAGGGCTGGCGTGATCACGGTGGCGGTGTTTGGAGATGAGCGAGCGAACATGCGTGCGCGCGAGCGAGACACGGGGGGGATGCGCGCGCGCGTGCGTGCGCGTGAATGCGCCCGCGGGTAAGCGCGAGCCTTCGCGCGCGCGAGTGCGCGCGCGCGGCGGTGGCGGGCGCGCAGCGTGGGGGTGCGCGACGTTGTCGGGCGGGTGGAAGGGGCGAGCGGCGCGCGCGCGAGGCGAGCGAGCGTCGAGCGGGCGCGGGCGGGTCGGTTGGCGGGCGAGCGGCGCTGGGCGCGAGGACGTCTGCGGCGATAGCCATGCGCGAGGGGGGGGGGGTCCAACGTGTGTCCCTGCATTCGTTCAGCGCGCATGGGGTTCCGCTTCCCCGTCGTGGCCGCGCTTGGGGGCTCGGTGGGAGCGTTGGCGAAACGGGGCGCGGTGGCGTTTGATGGTCGTGCCAAGCGGGGGTGGCGGCGACGGTGGCGGTGGCTCGGGATGGGAAGTGGTGATGCGCCGATGCTGGGAGGGTGGAAGCGGCGCGATCTGGCGCGACGGGCGGCGCTGGGGAAGAGGGGGGGGGCAGCGCGCAGCAGTGGCGGGCGGGCTAACTGGCGTCGGCGGCGGCGGTGGCGTGACAAGACATTTGGGGTGAGGGAATGGAGCGGCGGCGGGCAATCAAGTCGGGGCGGGGCGAGCGGGGGCGCGCGCGCGGCGGCGATGGCGGTGGAGGCGGGGAGCTTGACATGTGGATGCGTGGGTGGGGATGGAGTGAGGTGCGTGGTGATGTAGAGGGTGGTGGTCGCGGTGGAGGGGGCGGCGGCGGGCGGGAGGGCGGGTTGGGCGGGGCGGGGCGGGCGGGGCGGGGGGCGGGTGGATGGGTGGGAGGGGGGGGGGAGGGGAGGGGGGGGGGGGCTTAGCTCGCGCGTGCGAGCGAGGGGGGGAGGGGGTGGAGGCGGTTGGCGTGGCGCTCGCGCGTGTGAGAGTTTTGCGCGTGAGCGTGCGCGTGTGCTTGCGTGCGTGCGCGTGAAATGCGCGCGCTGGCATTGGATCGCGCGCGTGCATGGCGTGCGCGTGGATGCGCGATGGGGGGCGAAGAGGCGTGGGGGGGTGGGTGGGGGGGGGGGGGGGCGCGTGGCGAGTTGCGCGGGCGGGCAGCGGCAGGCTGGGCGCCAGCTGCGACGGCGCGCTGCGCGGGCGCGCCGCGGAGCGCCACGGCAGACGGGCGCTGCAACGTCAGCGGCGGAGTCTTCTGGGTGCGCTCACGGGGCCGTTTGCCCGAATAATGCGCAGGGGGCGCGCGGCGCAAGCCGCGCGCGAGGAGATGTTGAGTTCGCGCAGCCCTAAGCCTTCAACGTAAGCGCGCAGCTTGCGGCGACCGAGACCGCGCAATTGCCGTCGATTCGGCGATGCGGGCGTTCGGGTCATGAGCGGCTGGCCTCCCGCGTGGCAGCGCAGTTGTTGCGAAAGAAGCAAGGGGGTACGCGACGTTTGCGCTGCCCGCGCCCAGAGAAGCAACGGTGATTTCACGGGGGCGGCAGTGTCCACTAGGGCAGCGAAATCGCCGACGGTTGAGCGTCGGGCGATCCGCCGAGCCCCATCGGGGCGCGCCATAAGTGCCCCGTTGCCCCCTATGCGTGAAGGTCGCGGTCGACTGCGCGGCCGCGGAACACCCCGCGCGGGGCAGCCAGCACTGTGCCAGGCGGCGCGTCACCAATGCCAATGACGTCACTGGCGATCCGTGCGCTAGAACTTCGCGGCCGCGTAGCCTCACTTTCCGCAGCCATATCACGTTGCGCTTGGCTTGGTCTGGATCAAGTGGCTATCGTTCGCGCGCAGCGCGCGCGTGGCCGACTATCGCCCCCGACCCCCCCCCCACACGCCAACCTTGAACGCGGGCGTTCGGCGGAGAGGTGGCCGATAGATAAGCGATAGCAGCGAACAGCGCGTTCACGGGGCACTCGAAGCTGCGCGTGCCGACGTGTTTCTTTTAATATCAGTTAGCTTAAGCGTCTTAGCAAGCTTGCGCGTTGACCTTGAAGGAAGGCACGCCGCGACGGAATAACTTTGTTTGATTGCGAGCCGAGTGTCCTTTAACCGCCCCCCATCGCACCCGCCATTATCTTCTTCGCCGCGCCCAGTCGCGAAAGCAGACAGCCCAGCATTTGTCGCGACATTGGCGGGCGGCGGCAGGTCGGGGGCAGGCGGTTGGGGCAGCTGCCTCAGGGATGCATCACCTACTTGTTCGTGGGCAGGCAACGCGATAACATTGAAGGCCGAAGGCTTGGGGTGCCAAGCCAAGTTCCCACTCATACTCAGACTCACGCGCGCGCCGACGTGTTCATTCGCAGACTCATGCACATTCGCACTTCGCCACGCTCAGGCCTAGCTACACATGGTTGTTTTCGTTCGGCTTTACGCGCGCTCAGGCTCACCCATGCACCATGCCGCCTCAAAATTCAGACAGGATAGCACTACGGTCCACGGGCGCACAGGTGGATTCTCATACGACGTCATTCGGCAAAACTTCTCCGCCCTCCCCCCCCCCCTGGCGGCGGGGCAGAGCGGCTGTCATGGAACGGCTTGCCGCGCGCCGTGCAAGGCGCATGAAGGGAGGGCAGCCGGCGACTACGACGACGAATAATGAGGCGTCGTCGTCAAGGATGTTTTCGTCGTCGTAATCGTCGTCAGCGTCGTCGGGCTCGGCGTCTTAACTATTCCCACCCCGCCTTCCCCAACCCTGGTTTGAAACTCATCGGGTGTGCGTCGAGGTCTCGTTGGGGCCCCTTCGGGAGACTCGCGACAGCCAGTTGGTGGCATCTTGGGAACCGCTGAGGGCTCTGTTGGTGGGATCTCTTGGGGGCTCTTGGTGGTCCCTTGAGGGGCCCAGAGTTATCTTGAGGGGGTCTCTTGGGGGTCTTTTGGGGGGTCTCTTGAGGGCCCTGCTGGGGGGGGGGTCAGAGTTGTCTTTTTTAGGGGGGGGTGGCTCTTGAGGTCTCATTTTTCTGGTCAGTCACTTCGCAGCAGGCTTCTTCGCATACCACCTGCTCTTGGCCGAATCCATGTGGATGCGCGCCTTCTCGCGCCTCTGGCCCTTGGAGTCGCCGTCATTGTTGGGGTCGCCCTCGAAGAGCCACTTGAATAGCTCCTGGTCCGCAGGGCACCGCGTTTCTGTGATGCATAATGAATATCCTGTGTGACGGTAGCACGTCACGGTAACGCTCTTGGCAGGCCGACCCCGCTGAATCCTCATGATAGTTCGGTTCTTGTACGCCACGAATCCGCTCGCACTTGGCTCCCCAAGTTGTTCCCAAGGCTGCGGAGGCTCAGCAACATCTTCGGCAAGAGGCCCATCTTCAACTCCAGCGTCGGCGCCGCCACTGGGGACATCAGCGCCGCCAGCTGCGTCCTCATACATCTTGGCAAGCGCCCCGACATGAGCAGGATGGGGGTCGTCGAGGTCGATCTCGCCATCGTCTGGACGTTCGTCATGGTGGTCTTCTTGGCTGCCGCCCCAGGTGTCGAGCAGCTCTGTCATATCGTCATCGCCGCCATGGATCTCTGCGTCCTCCTGGTCCGCCACGTCCATCTCGTCGAGAGCGACCGCGAACTCCCCGTCCAAAGCGCCCAGCTGAAAGCCTTCGTCGGCACCTGCGTCGGCGGCCCCTGCCGCGCCGAGCGACGCAGCCACGGCCGCATCGCTGCCCAATGCTCCTTTGGGTCCTCTTGTAACTGCTGCTGCGATCGGGCCGCATGCACTTGTCGGATCGACTTTCCCATTGGCAGCCTTGGTCGATGCGGCGCACGATGACGACGTCTTCGCCGTGTCGCTGGATGGGTTCAGGGGGTCGTCCGTCTTCATTTTCTTGAAGGTCGAGGCGCTGGTGTCCTTTCGCTTAGCGGCCGCGCTGCCCAGTGGGACGCGCAAGCCCTCCTTCCACAAGGTGCCGAGAGCGGTCGCGGACTTTACCTCCACCCACAGAAGAGTACCGTCCACGTCGACGGGGTCCCACTCCACCTCGCAAAGCTCCATCGCCGAGAACAGCTCGCAGCACTCGCGGACAAACTCATCGGACGCCTGCGCGTTCACGACTTTGAACTTATCACTTATCCTTGATGCCCGCCCCTCCAAGACAGCCCGACAAGGGCAAAGTAAAGGGCGATCGCTGTCCGACGAAGCTCTGCCCCATCTGTGGCGTGCGAAATCAAACACAAGAGGTGAAAAACATGACCCGATGACTTGGACGAGTAGCCGATGATAAAGACCACCACCAGCAATGTCCGGGCCTTCCACTATCAACATAACGTCGCCAGACTCCACCTTGGTCCTGTTCAGCCTGGCAATGACGTTGCTGATGCCCTTCTCGACCAGCTTGAACTTTAACCTCCCCCCCGCGACCTTCATCGGGTTCACGTTGTGGGGTCGAGCTCCGAGGCTCCACAGATTCGTGCTCTTCGAAGGCCCGAAATCCACGAAGTAGTTTGCCTTGGCGAGGCCCTCCTCGTGGTTGGCGCCGGTGACGTCGGCATCGCTTGGCCAACCTTTTGAACCCTTGATGTGCTTGCAGAACTCGTCGCTGCTGATTGGCGAGACGAAGCTCCCGCCCCCCCACTGCTGCACGTACTTGTAGGGGCGCTCTCGTTCATGATGTTGTTGCTTCTCTCGCACCCACTCGTCGTACGCCTCGTTGTGGCAATCTTTGTCGGCGACGTTCTCCCAGAAGACATGGAATTCCTCCGTCACCTGTTTCACCTCCTCATCGGTCATCGGAGAGTCTCTCAGCGCCCTCGCAGCACGCAGCCACTGGTTCTTCTCCAACAAGTAAGGGTTGAGGCCAGGTGCAAACCTGCCAGTACTATTAGTACTTGGGTTCTCGTGCGGAAGGATGTCGATGCACTCCGATACCGTTCGGCAAGGTGGGAAGATTGGTCCGCCCTGGTCCCCGACAGGAACGACAGCGACGCCATCCTCGGACACCTGCGCCGCGTCGCCTGGGCCAGCTGGCAGCGCCGCCGCAGCCGATGAACCCGCCAGCTCGGGATGGACAAGGGCAGAGTCGGTGGCGGCTTGTGCCATGGCGCACTCCACTGCGTCAGAGGGGTCGCACAGCAACAGTGGGCGCTCGATCTCTTCCATGCTCGAAGTAAGTGGCTTGTTGATGGGTCTCGTTGGATGCTTCCCACCGTTTGAGACATGGATCGCGGCCGCTTGGTTCAGAAGGTTCCTCCTCGCCGCTTGAGTGAAATTGGTCGCTGGAGCTCGCTTAGGCACGCCATGGGTGATCTCAGAGTTCAGCCTCTCAATCACGTCAGTGCTGAAAGCGTGCGTCATGAAATCTGACCTGAGAAGGGACTCGCACTCCTTCGACCCCAACTCCTCCTTAGTAAACAGTTTGCGGATTCCGCGGCTGTACAGGTCCAGCTCGTCGTCGTCGGCAGCCAGTAGGTGCTCGATGCAAGGCGCTTTCTGCTCTGCAGTGGTAGTACTAAGCGATAGAACGTGCATGTCGTAAGGCTTGGACGAATACTTCGTTTCGTAACGCCTGAACACAACGCCAGCCAATCTCAAAGTCTGGTTGCGAGCGAAACGCATCACGGCAGCACTCTGAATTGGGATGCCCATCATGTCGAGGACGCACCATGGGTCCCTCCGATCGCCTCCTTGCCGCCAAGCCTCCATGCTAGCGAACAGCCTCTCGGAGCACTGACCTACGAGGCTCGTGTTCTTTTACAAGAGCTTGTCCAGCTTGCTCGCCTTGCCCTTCTCGCCCATCTCGTTTGTCACATTCGTGGGGTCGCCCAGCATCGGGTACAGCAAGTGGAAGTCGTAGATGCCAACCAGCACGGTAAGTATCGGGAGCTCCATCATGTGGTCACCGTTGTTGTAGTATTCGGCCGTCTTCTTGACGCGGGACTGCTTGAGCTTCTTTTGGTAGTCGTCGGTTGCCTCCATGTCGACTGTCGTCTGGCCATCCACGGTGTCAGGCAGGTCCCCAACCGAGACGTCGAAACACTCCAGACCAACGTTGAAGACGACACGTCGCAAACACAGCATGCGAAAATTCGGCAATAGATGAGTCCATCGGCTCTCGCCTGGGATCGGGCCGGCCTTGCCGAACATGCAATTGATGCAGGCAACCACTGTGCGATGCTTGCAATCTTCCAGGCTCGCGCAACACGGTTGGTCACCATCTCCAGACGAGCAGTAGCGCACCCACTCCGCATTCGGGCAGAGGTCGCAGTTGACCATCTCGCACAGATGTTCCACGTCTGTAGAATTGTGAACGACGTTCGTGGTTATGTCCCCGCCTGTGGTAATTAGCTTCGAGGTCGAACACTACGCGAGCGAATGTGCGCAATGCTGTGTCAGCTCGAGGCTCGGCTGAAACTACTCGTTGAACTTTGGCCCGAATGTGAACCTCCAGCATCGATATCATGCGTGATCTGATGTCGGGGAGACGATACAAATTGGCGATGCTGTATGACCGCGTCGTGTGAAGTCTAAGCTGCTTCAATGAAAGTTTTCCTCTGTGGTGAAGATGAACTCCGCAACAATCTGCCCAATAAAGAATTTTGTTGCCCACCTCTGGCGCTGCAGCCTGCATCTGAAGCAACGTGTATCCCCAGTGGCGTAGCAGCACCAGGTTCCCAGAGGCTTTGTCGCACATCGGCATTATTGTAATATGGCTGCAAGACCGTGCAGTACTCACAAGCTCCTCCAACTTGCACACGTCGAATTGGAGCGGCATCTGTCGCTGAATCCCTGGAAGCATCTCGGCTGCACTCGCACCCTGGATAGTAATCGGTCGTGCCAACCACACCTCAGTAGTTGAACTGCTCTGGGACGTCTTCTCATCAAACAGCGTGAGCCTGATGTACGAACGCTGCGCCATAGTCTGAACATGAACTCCCATCTTGGTCTGCCGTCCTTTTGTTTCATGCTGTCTGTATCGAACTCTCGTCTCGTCCCACAAGTGCGCGTATGAAATGTGCGCCTTCACACCGCCCACCAAATCGACGATGGTCTGTGCATTGGCGATCATTGTGGCGAGCCCGTCTTTTTGTTTGTTCTGAATGCACGTCGCCGCTGCTGCGATCACTCGCTGGTGCTTCACGCCCAGCGCTAGACACGATGATGGTGGTAAAAAAACATGCCCGGCTGAGTACAATGAAATCTGCTGGCCCCAAGAGGTCAATGCGCTTCCTGCCGATGTTCGTGGACTTCGACCCCCAAATCCTCGATGCTGATGGGGCCAACGATGTGGCAGCATGAAGTCGAGTTTCTGCTGATGCCAGTTGCTTGGCCATATGAAGGATCACTCTCTGGTCGTACTTCGCCTTCTTTGCCGCTCGAGCGCGCGCGATGTGTTGCCAACTTCGGTTCGTGAACTTGCGCTGCTCAATCTGCATTGGCACGAGGGCGGCAGGAGGGATGCTGATCTGCAGGCTGTCCTCTGCTATCTGCGGTGGGATGTCCAGCCTCTGTGGAATGTCGATCTGCGCTGCGTCATCTGATGGAAGGCCCACGGGAATGGCCAGCACAGGTGGAAGGTCGATCTGCGCTGCAACGTCTGGACAGGCTGAAGGTCCATCTGCGCTGCAAGGTCGATCGGGCGGCGCATCAATGTGGCTCACGATGATGAGCGAGCTGCATATATGGAGGTGCGCCAAGAGGCACACGGAACATGAAAAACTATGTGGAATCATATGGAACTCCTGGGGGCCCAAATGGCTATGGACAAGGGCTTCACGCCCTGGCGGTGTCCGTCCCGCAGGCAACGCGTGTTTTCCAAAGGTGTGTTATTGCAGAGTCCCCTTCTGAAGCCGACTGCCCCCCCAATGGATTTCCGAAGAAAGGCCCATGGGCCCCTTTGATTTGGAGAACGCCCCGAATGCATTTATCATGGGCCCCATGGTGGAAATAACAGTGGGGAGTGCAGGGGGGGGGCGGGACTGGAACAATATTTACTTTCGTTAACGCACTGCACGACTTTCCCTACAGGTGACTCTCAACTCGGCATGGCCACAACGATGTCTCATGTACAACTTTGATGTTGGATGTGTGCCCCCTGCTTGCTGTAGTAGTACAATGCTCCCCCAAGACTTATGAGCTCTGTCCTACACGCGTTTATATCATGTAATCCTCATCCTCCTCTCTGTCTGCTCCTGCAACCACTCTATCCCGACGGGCGCCCTACAACGCTCATGTTGTTTAACAGTGCTTATCGCGCGGTGGGCTTCGTAGGCTCAAGACTTATCAAGACGGCCTCAAGATGGCTCGAACACTTTGCAAGCGACAAGCAACGCCGACAACAGTTCGAAGTTGACGGCCCGAGGGCGCGCATCAATCAGAAGTTGGTGGCCCTAGCGATTTCCCCTCTTGACGCACCCACCGTGGTGCGTTCTCCAGAGTGAAGGGGGGGTCAGCCCCCCAGACGAACCCAAGTCCAAACTCATGTTCCCCGAGGCGTCTATCGGAACATGATTTCGGGGTTCCCAGGGCGCCTAAGGCGGCCCTAAGACGGCCCCGACAAGTACTAAAAGGACGCTCAAACAAAAAAAAAAAAAAAAAAAAAAACACTGGACGGGCACAGTTCGTTGATGTCCGCGACACGTTGCTGGATTTCTTGCACTCGGAGGCGGTGGGGGAGGAGGGGGAAGAGGAAAGGAGGAAGAGGACATGGGCGAGGAGGAGGAGGAGGAGGAAGAGGAGGACGAGGGGGGGAGGAGGGGGGTGGAGAGAGAAGGGGGACGGGGGGGGAGGAGGGAAGAGGGATGATGATGACGATGATGATGATGACGACGATGATGATGATGATGGGGAGGAGGAGGAGGAGGAGGAGGAAGAAGAGGAGGAGGAGGAGGAGGAGGCGGAGGAGGTTCAGGATGGGGGAGGAGGATGAGGAGAAGGAGGAGGAGGAGAAGGAGAAGGACGAGGAGGAGGAGGAGGAGGAGGGGGAGGAGGAGGGGGCGGCGGAGGAGGAGCAGGAGGAGGGGAGGAGGACGCGGAGGAAGAGGAGAAAAGGATGAGGAAGGGCAAGAGGGAGGCCTCCCTCGAGTGTTCCCTTTATCCGATGCGGCCCAATGCTTGCGCGGCGTCGCAGTGCCGTTTGGCGAGCCATGTAGTCTGAACAGGAGGAGGAGAAGGAGCAGGAAAAGGAGGAGCGAGAGTGTGGGGGGCGTCCCAGGCCAGGCCCGTGGCGACACCTGCAGACTCCTCTCTGTGCGTGACCCTCAAGGCGCACGCGTCTCTGCGGGGTGTCCTGCGGCCATGTGCCCTATGCAGGCGCCATCCCGCAGGGGTGGGCATAGCAGACTGGTAGCATTGCCCGATCGCTCCTCTCACAGGTTATCAGCCGCTTTGCCAGAGTTGCGAGACCGACGCTGTCAGTCTCTGAGGGCGTGTGCTACGCCATTTCTTCATGCGGGCTTCGGCGCCATTCGGAGGACGGCGCGATTGCTTCAGATGATGTGACGACCCTCTTTGCCCATTCTTTATGCGTTTTGTGATCCATCGTTGATTGCCTCTGTTGGAAGCTGATCTGGCGCCCTCCCAGACGGTGGCAACACCTGCTGCGCCCTCGTCGCCTTGGCTGGGCGCAGCTGCACATTGCTGTCACAGAGCTCTAACGCGACTGAGACTTCTCGATGTGTCCCTCATTATCCAGCTTTCTATTGCATTCTCTCACGTCGTTTTGCGTCGGGGTGGGGCGACCCCGCAGGTGCACTTCGACGCCCTCCTCTTCTCGCTTTCTGTTGTCCTTCCCCATATCCATCCATCCATTGCTTCTCCCTTCCCACCCATGCGTCCTTCTTTTCTTCCTCTCACGCTTATGATTGTGCATGTTGTCGCCGTGCCCGCACTCATTTCGGAGCGATTGCTGCGCGCCGCGCAATGACCACGCGTCGGACAAGCATTTCGTTCTCCTCATCGTGAAGAGTAGCCTGTGCGGCGGGGGCGCCCTGTTTACATGCCACGGGGCTCCGTGGTGGTGGGGCATTTGCTGTATGTCAACTTTCCCAGTGCTCTGAAGCAGAGACAGTAAGTCACATCTCGGAATAGCGCTGCTCGAACAGCGTCCAGAAGTCAGGTTACTCCTCTTGTTCTTCCTCTCCCTGCGCGACGGACTACCTCGCGCGCAGGCGCAGGGGCGGGGCCCCGGTAGGTGCTCGCTGCTGGCTCATGACCTTTTGATTGTTTGTTTCTGGGTGACGGTTGTCAAAGACTTGCTCTGCACATTCGGAGCGCTCGTTTCCGCTGGGCCCGCAGCATCCACAACTACAGGTTGAGTCTTCGCGGTGGACCCCGCAGCGGCTCTGTGCAGATCCCTATTCTTCTCCTCTTGAAGGCGCTTGGAGACGGATGTCTCTCATCGGGGGGGTCCTCCCTCCTTTTCCCTTTCCTCCTCTCTTCTTCTAGTGGGTTCAGTCCCGCAGCCTCTGGGCGTCGTGGGAGTTCGCCTCCCCGCGTCTCCTCGGAGTCGGGTCTGGCCCCTCCCTCCTCTGTTATTCTGGTGGGTTCAGTCCCGCAGCCTCTGGGCGTCGTGGGAGTTCGCCTCCCCGCGTCTCCTCGGAGTCGGGTCTGGCCCCCCCCCTCCCTCTCCCCTCTCTCCTGGGACAAGTCAGAAACCTCTGCGGGGGGGTCGCAGCCCCGCAAACTGGCACCTCTTGCAAAGGAGCACGAAAACACGTGCTTGAGGTGGCCAGAGCCCGGCTCTCGTCGATAAGAGCAGCCCATTTTGGGCGGAGCCGGCGCCCCCAATCGACAAGAGCAGCCCATTTTGGGCGGGGGCAACGCATCTCCGTCTTTTTTGTCTTCCACCTTCTTTCTATTCTATCGCGTCGTCTCGTGTCGGGGGGGCCGATCTGTCGGTGCTCCAGGACCTGTGGGCAGTTGAGCCCTGCGGACTTGCGTCGAGCTCACACTGTTGCGCCTCCCCACAGGTACATATCGACACGCTCCTCTTCATCATTGTCTCTCGCCGGGGGGGTCGTCGCGTCGAGCTCGCTGCCTCCCCGCAGGTGCATATCGACATGTTCCTCATCATGTTTCTCTTTGCCTTTCCCTCCTCTAGCGCTGCTTTCGCACTGGTGTCAGTCGAGAGACACTCTCTCAGTGTTGCTTCCTTTCTCGGTCGTTGTCGCCAGGTGCATTTCCTGTTCTTCTCCTACGAAGTGGTTGGCCAGCCCGCAATCTATATCCTGTTCATACTGTGCTCTCAGGTGCCCATTGTGACGTCGTGCACACACGTCCATCTTGTGGTCTCTGTCTCCCCCAGGTGCGCATTTTGACGCTTCTCTCCGACCGCCTCTTCTGGATTGCTGTCGCTGCGAGGTCTGCCCGGCCAGGTATGCCCCATCTCCTGTTCTACTTCCGCCACCCGATGACGTGCGTGATCGCGCGTCGTAAGGGGGGGGGTGGGAGACGTCCCAGGCCAGGCCGGTGGCGACACCTGCAGACTCCTTTCTGTGCGTGACCCTCAAGGCGCACGCGTCTCTGCGGGGTGTCCTGCGGCCATGTGCCCTATGCAGGCGCCATCCCGCAGGGGTGGGTATAGCAGACTGGTAGCATTGCCCGATCGCTCCTCTCACAGAGAGGAGGAGGAGGGGGAGGAGGAGGAGGAGGAGGAGGAGGGCGAGGAGGAGGCGGAGGAGGAGGAGGAAGAGGAGGAGGAGGAGGGAAGGGGGAGGGAGAGGGGGAGAAGGAGGAGGAGGAGGAGGAACGTGATGAAGATGATGATGGTGGCGACGATGATGATGGGGAGGAGGGGGGGGAGGAGGAGGAGGAGGAGGAAGAGGAGGAGGAGGAGGGGGGGGGGGGGGGGCGTGGAGGAGGAGGAGGAGGAGAGGAGGAGGAGGAGGAGGAGGAGGGAAAGTAGGAGGAGGAGGAGGCGGAGGAGGAGGAAGGAGGAGAAGGATGAGGAGGAGGGAAAGGAGGAGGAGGGGAGGAAGGGGGCGGAGGAGGAGGAAGGGGGGAAAGGAGGGGGCGATGGGGGGAGGAGGAAGAGTAGGAGGAGAGGAGGAAGAGCAGGGGGAAAGAGGAGGACGAGGAAGAGGTGTCGTTTTCGGCCGCCTCGGGCCGCCTGGGGGCGAGGAGCGCCCAAAAGCTTTTCGAACCGCGACCACGAAACTCGACGAATAACCGAAGTGCATTCAGCCTTCAACCTCCTCGTCCGTTGTTTGGCCGTTGCCCCGGACGAAGCTAGAACCTAAGCGCGCGCGTAGCGCGCGCGTGGTTCTAGTGTATATATATATTATATATATATATATATATATATATATATATATATATATATATATATATATACATATGTGTGTGTGCGCATTGCAACCTGCCTGGTAGCCCCAACTGAGCTACCCACTTAACAACCCCAGCGGTGTTCCCAGTAAAAAGACATGGTTGTTTTCCTTCTTCTACACTTATGGCTCAACAGCAAAGTATCCAATATGGGCGTTCTCCTTTCTCCCCCGACTACCTGCTAGACTTGTCCCGCCACCTGCACGCAGTTTTGCTTCACTGGGTTTTCAACGGTGTATTTCTTTATTGTGTGTTTTGTGGATTCAGAGCGTTTTCGGTGTTTCAACATGGTGCTCCCGTTGTAACGATGGCCTCATTTTAGACTCGGCTGTTTGCTCCCGTCGATGATATTGGCACTCTCGCCCCAGCGCGGGCAACGCTTCTGGATCCGAGACCCTCGTCGTCGTTGCCGCCCCAGTCTTTCCCCCTCCTCTGCCTTTCATTGGTCTTCCTGCTCCTCCCGATTCTCGTAATCATGCCCCTGCTCCTGTTGTTCCTCGTCCTCCCCCTTCCTCATCCTCATCCTCCTGCTCCTGCTCATCCTCCTGGTCATCCGCCACCCCCTCCTCAAACGCACACAGCTCCCATTGTCCAATGTTGCGTAACACGATGGGGTCCACGGGGTCGCTTGGGGGTCCCAGGTCCACTGTGACACTTGTCGGCGGACATATAAACAAACACATCCGCGCAATGGGGACATATTGATGGGAGGGGTAGGATGTCATATATGGAACTAGCGCATCTAGCTTGCCTCCTCCTCCTCCTTTTCCTCCTCCTCCTCGTCCTCGTCCTCCTCCTCCCCCCTTTTCCAAATTATCCGTCCGCTCCAAGAACTCCCAGAGCGCCCCCTGGAGCCAAGAGAGCTCCTTCCACAACTCCTCACAAAGCCAGAGAGCCCCCCAGGTCAAAAACTACGATAACTTTCCCCAGCTTTCCTTTCAGAGCTGCGCAAGCTCCCTCCAGAATTGGGATGGACTCCAGAACTAGAGCGGACCCTTCCAGCGGTGAGCTAGCCCCTGAGTTCCCAAACCCCTCCTTATGGCATCCTTCGCACAGGTCAAGTGCATCCCACATCGTGAAGCCAATGATTCCATTGGGGAGCTGACTTGTCGGACGGGTAGCACTTCGGTTCCGCCCCCCCTTCCTCCCAAAGCCCGCGAGCATTTGCGAACCGCCCGCATTCATGGTGTGGCGCCGCCCGCTGGGCGGAATGCAACCGTTCACTCCCCGAGGTGATGCAGGACGCGGGCGGCAGGTCCGCGCCTGGCGGTTCTGGCGCCCCGACCTCCGCGACGGAGAAACCAGGCGGCGCCGGCAGCCTTGGGGAATTGGTGCTGAGCTCCAGGCCCGGGCTATTGAAATCCACGTGTTGCCCCGGGTAACCAATGAGGTCCTGGAACGCCCAGGGCACTCCTGTTGGACGGAGAGGGGGGGGCAACTGGGGACTCCCCTCACTCTCACCCCCTCGCCTGACACGAGTGCCTCTCACGGGCGTCAGCCCCACTCCCTCTCCCCCTTTTTTTTCCTTCCAACTTACCCAGCCTCGGTCACGGGCTTCAGTCAGAGAGCAGGCAGAGGGCGCTGCTGGACAGTGTGTCGGTGACGGCCCAGGAGAGTGCCTCACTGAGGCAGCACGGCTTTTTCGTCGACGTCATCAGCCTGTCAGCCGGGGAGGCGTCACTCGCGTCTGGGCCCCCTAGTTCCGAAGCTCTAGAATCCTGGGAGCTGGCGGTGCGAAAGGTGTACGAGCAGCACGTGCGCAGCTTGCAAGCGCAGGTGCGCTCGGCAGACGGCAAGGCCACCGAGCTGCACTTGAGCATGCAGCATAACCTGGGCTTGCTCAAGGAGCAGGAGGAGGCGAAGCAGACGCTCAGGGACCAGGTGAGCTCCAAACACGAGCAGCTCAATGGCGTCCTCGAGGACATGGCCACCACGCGGAAAAATTACGACTCGCAGCTGGCCGTGCTGACAGAGCACATCTGCGGGCTTTCCCAGAAGATTTCCGAAAAGGACGAAAGTTTGGCCTCGCTGCAGACACAGAAAGTGCTCTGCGGCCACTGTGGCACGTGGAGCGTCATGGGCAAGCTGCTCAGCCCAGAGGCGGCCGGGGTGTGCCAGACCTGCAAGGAGAAGGTACTGAGCAAGGTCTGACGTCGCCAAGCCCTTTCTGCTCGGTGGCGAGGGCAGGACAGCGGGCGGGTCCGAGACCGTTTCGAGCATTCTTAAGCGCTCCATCTGAAAGCGACGCCTCAGGAGGAACTCGAGTTGGGACGTCGAAGGAACAAGACTACGAGGTAAGTTTTGGAACGAAGCGTCAAATAGAGTTGTTCGTGGAGTGGTTCAAGGGTCGGAGCTTTGGGGAGCAATTCGACGCTGTAGCTCGGAGGAAAGCCTCGGCACAGAAACTCGAAGAGTTCGAAAGGCGGAGCCCTGGAGGGTCATGATGGAGGAGGAGGAGGAGGAGGAGGAGGAGGACCAGAGTACTGACCCCAGGATACATCAACGATGCTGCATCACACCTGTCCTTCCCGAGTCCCCTCTTCACGAGTCCCTGCAAGAATTCCTTGCCACTGCTGGATCACCACTGGAAGCGCCCACCATAAAGAGAAAGAGAGAGAGAGAGGCAGAGAGCCCCGTTTTGAAACGGATCCGCCTGTGCATCATATGACATGTGTTTCACACTTGTGTTCATCACAGAATCCGACTTTGGTCTTTCAATTGTTTGTCCCAACGGAGAACTGCATACTGAAGCTGAACTCTCCTCCATCCGCTTCGCTGTTTCACGACTTTAAGCCCCTGGTCAAATTGTGGAGATCGCAAGCGAGAGTCTAATTTTGAAGAGGAACCACCCTCTAGCCACGTAGCTGTTGGACGCTTACACGACGAGTGTGCGCAGCGCTGAGACGAGAGCTATGTTTTGAAAATGGGCCCGCACTCTATCGTCAGTAAGGCCAGTAAGTATCAATTTTATCGCCTGGCCCGCCCTACCATTTTTGGCTCAAGCCATTTTTGGCTTAAGTGGCTCAAGTGGCTCAAGTATACTTAAGCGAGAGGGCGTGAGCGGCCCTGACATATCTCATACTCATACTCCTCTTGTATGTGCCCTCTGCCCCTACACTTCGATTGTTTCTGGGTGCTCGTATCTCTTTGCGGCATACGTGAAGATGCCGGCGGAAAAAAACACCACATGGGAACTCCAGTAAAAGACGTGTTCAAGTCATTAGATAATATGCCCCGCACGGGAAGCTCACCTCTGAAAGTTGACGAAGGACCTCGAGCTTTACAAGACCAGTTCCATCATGGTCTTGCTGACGCTGGGGTGGCGAGCGGGGCTGCGAGCTCCGGGACCCCGATCACCATGGAGGGCACGCGCGAGATGTTCAAAGAGCAGCTTCAACCCCTCCGGGAGGACATTGAGGCCATCAAAAAGCACGGGGTGTCGAACGAAACATTGCTCGGCGCAGTTACACCACTCCAGCAGGCAATTGATGATATCACTGTACGCGTTGCTGCTCTTGAAACAGAAGCTTCCCGGCCCACATCTGCGAGGAGTGGTCCGAGGCACCTACCGAGATGACTCCGCAGAACAACTTGCACGAGCTGGATATGGAAATGCAGGATATGAAGAAGCACAGAACTACTTCCGGAAAAGGGAAGCAATCGAATTACACAGGTGAAAGCACACGGGATCTTACGGCAGTAATTGGTAAATTGGCTGGTTTTGATTATTTGGTTGCTGCCACGTCGTGGGTTTCAGTCACGCTTGCGTCATTGTCGGCGCCTACAGCTATCGAGATCTACTCCAAGGTCGACATCCGGGACATTTTTTTCCCGCAGTTTTCGCCAGCGTAGCCGATCGTGATCTGGCGGTTGGCGCATTGCGGAGGGCGGCCCCCGACCACGGAGGGACAGCAATTTGGGCTTCTCAAGATAAGCCGCCTTCCTTCCGTGCGGTTCGGACCGCTTGTTCTGGGCTGGAATACATTCTCAAAGACGATTTCCACAACAAATACAAGATACATATCGAGACGAATTAGTTTCCTTTTTCCAGTTTCTGCGGGAGGAGATACTGCAGTATCTGTCTCTGTACATGAATCCCAGCTTGTATTGGAATGGGGCCCAGATTGGAGAGCATGGGGGGACTTGCAGCAGCATCCCAATCTCATCGAAGTTATCAACAAAAAACAACACTTCTGGAGCGAGCTGCCGAGGGCATGGAAGGGGCGGCAAAAGGCAAGTCCAAAGGCCAGTAGAAAACACGGCTGGACTCCGGAACCGGCCCAAAAGATCGCCATGTAAGTTTTGATGCCGCCATGGCGGGCAAAGCTACCACTACTGCCAGTGCGAATCAGGGCCAAGCTACCGTCGCACAGCGGCCCGCGGTCGTTTCACCTTCCTTACCAAAGCGCTTGTTTGGATTACTTCCACCACTTCGTATACCTCTAACCGGGGATCCGCGCTGACAAAGTTTTGGAGGGCTTTCACCACCTCGCCTACCTCATCCCGGGCATCCCCGCGGACAAAGTTATGGAGGGCGACGTGCTCCACCATGTCATGCATCTTCGGCGACTGCGACAACTTCCGCATTATCACTTCCTCGACTGCTTCTACCCATTCTTTCTCAACTCCCGCCTCCGCCCGCCCCGCCCCCGCCCCCGCCCCCGCCCGCCCCCCCAAACCCTGCAGCTCCATTCTCTCGGCGCAGACCCCGTCGTCTATGTGCACCGCGTCGCGCCCAGCGTCTGGCCACGCGGAACATCGAGGGCTAGCGCGGCGATTCCATTGCGAAGCTGGACGAGCTTACCGTGACGCTGCAACGTCATAGGATTGATGTATTATGCATGCAAGAGACGCATTTGGACGGAGCTGAGCACCAACGAAAAGATGGGTTCGATGCGTTCCTTTCGGGCAATTTGGGCGCGGGAACACGGGAGTAGACTGGGGTTGGTTTCATGGTGGATCCAAGCGTATCGACCGCCACTTTTGCCTTAAAGCCTGCAGCGATCGATTAGCAACGCTTCGAATGCGAGTCAAAGGTGGCATGCTCACGCCGATTACCGCCTGCGCGCCTCGCAGCGGCGCCGACCGCGACTTCGAGGCCCGGCAAAACTTCCACAGCGAGCTGCAGACCGTGATCTGGGCCACTACTTTGCACCGTGCCGCACTCATCCTTGGCAGTTTCAATGCAAAGTTGCGCCGAGCACGACCAGGCGAAGACGATATTATTGGACCGTGCGTGTTCAACCCGTTATTCAACGTCGCGGACTTGGCCAGAAATCTGATAGGCACCATTTCCAACAGACAGTTGTTTCCTGAAGCTTGTATAACGTGTGATCGTGTAGTTGCAAATTCATGGCATGCTGATCCAATCGATATGAAAATAGCATGTCGAAATGGTGGCACGGAGCCGATGGACACAGACATCACGGCATCCAAATTCTCTCAAATAGATCATGTAGTATGTCACCGCAGCACACTTTCAAGCGTGACGGACTGCTGGTCAGATCGGACAGAATCCTTGAGCAGTCGCCATTTTCTTACAATTGCGAATACACATATCGAGTTTGTCACGCAAGGCAAAGCACGCAAACGCCAGCTCGACCCCAAGGCCCTGAGCAACAAAGAAATCCAGCGCAAATTTTATTGCAGAGTTCGTCGATGCATCGATGCGAACACCAAGCACCGACGTCTTGGAGGCTGCCGCAGAGAACTTGAAGAAGGTTTTTGCTCAAGCATCCGCCTGCCTTCCAGCCAGAGGCACAACAGCAAAGCAACCGTGGACAAGCGCATCGACGTTGGACTTGATCGGAGAGCGCAGTACCCACCGCCAGTCCGGGGACTACGCCAACGAAAAGAAGACCCCACAAAGAAATCAGGACATCCGGGAAGCAAGACCGGGGGAGTGGCTCATGGATCTGACATATATTGGATCTTGGGGCGCAGTCCGATACCTTCGGAACCCAGCTCCGCAAAGCATACCACAATCAAGCGCCCTGATGTTTCGTTGGGGGGCGCCGAAGAGAGGCCGAATATCTTGGCAGACTACTTCGAGAAGACACAATGGGAATGCAGGTTTCCAGCTCTCCGGCCAGAACGTGAAGACACATTGGGCAGTACTTTACCTCTCGACGCAGGGGCCATCAACATGGCAGAGTTGAAAGCAGCATTACGAAAAATGAAATATGGCAAAGCCGCTGGAGCTGACGACGTACCGCCCGATTTCTGGAAGATGTTTGCGAAAGATGGCACTGCTTGCGGCGTGCTTCTGGCCATGCGCCGGCAATGCTGGGGCCAAAAAACGATTCCAGACTCGTGGGGAACCGCAAACGTCGCTTTGCTTTTCACAGAAGGGGACGCTGCGCTGCCGGCGAACTACAGGCCGATATCTCTGCTGCCAGTTGGGCGCCAGGCCCTGGCGTCTATTTTGATTCTCAATTTGGATTCCGACCAAAACGGGGCACAGGCGAGGCTCTGACGACGATCGGGCGAATGATCGGGGCCGCGCGCATGAACAACACGGGTGGCGCGCTTCTGCCCATGTTGGACTGGTCAAAAGCTTTCGACCGACTCAAACCAGATTGTATGTGCCCAGCTTCGGAAAGGTTTGGTGCACCGCAGTGCTTTGTAAAAATGGTGGAATCAGTTTATGCGGCCCGTTATTTCACCATTGTAGATCACACGGGCCACTCGTCTCAAAGGCAGCAGCGCGCAGGTATAGCCCAAGGGTGCCCCCCCATCGCCGTGCTTGTTCACCGCCATCCAAACAGTTATGCTGCGCGATGCGTTTGGTGATCTGCATCTACAACAAGAGCCGGCGCATTTGGCATCGCGCGACATTCTGCGCGCCGACGACGCCCTGCTCGCTTCACAGAGCCCGCAAAATCTTCAAACAACGCTTGCCGCAATAATGGGCGAAGGAACGAAACGCGGTCTTGAACTCAATTGGGACAAAACATTGCAAATTCAGATTTCTACGAACAACTCCGTTTCAAGGCCGTCAGGCGAAAGCATATTGAAATTGTACGAGAAGCGATTTACCTTGGAGGGTTGATTACGTGCGATGGCAAAGTTGGAGCAGAATTGACACAGCGACTGGGGGAGGCCAGCAGGACACTCAAGCAATTGAATAAGTTATGGTCCCGCACATCGTTTGGGATCAGACGAACGTGCATGATTTACGAGAGCTGTGTATTAAGCAAGCTGTTGTACTCGCTGGATTCTTTCTGGCTGCTCAAATCCGACAGAATGCGTTCGGGCGCCTTTCATTGCAAATGTTTGCGGCGTCT